AGTCTAAGCAACATTCATGAATTCTTTCCAATATAAATAATCAATGGAATGATTTGGAAAAATTCTGAAATGTATTAGTAGTATAGTAGTGGATCTCTGAATTTTTTCATTAAAATCCATTCGCTGGAACAGGAGAAATTAAATCCTAAAGATATTGAAACCCGTTGTACTAAGAGATATCCCTTCAAATCTGAGCACAGTTCATGAATTTTTGCTAATATAAATAACCGATGGAACAATTTGGAGAAATTCTGAAATGTATTATTCCATCCACTAGGATCAGAGAACAGAAATGACGAGAGAAATACTCTCTTCAACTGTAAAATAAAAGTTAATGCATTTTATGCAATGATTCTTTAATCCAGTCATTTCATATAAGAGTTTGAACATTAACGAACTAATTATGGAGGTATAATATTTATTTTTAGCTGATACTCCCTTCGGAGAAGTGAAACTGGGAGAACTCCCAGCTTGGATTTCTAGACGAGAGAAAGGACCACGACAGTTCTTAGGATTATGCTCCAGAGGTTCGTCGAAATCATATTAAATTTCATTTCCATTAAGAAGACGCGAGTAACTACGTCTTTTACTGTTATTGAATTGAACTAAGACATTTTCAATAATTTCTATAATGGAATTACAGCATTCTGGCGCTGGCAAATGAAGTACATTCACCCACGCAAGGCGAACATGGCACCAATTTGGCAATTGTGTGCCGGAGGCATGATATTATTCTATTCCCTTAACTATCAGCGTCTCAGTAAGTGTTTTACACGAATATCAATTTACGAGCATTTGGGATTCTAATAAGTTTTACGTATATATATAACGTTTGTAATTGTTTTCTAGGGGGACACAGGAATTACGTGTATCACTAAACGAACGAGTTTCGGAAGCTGTTAGTTAAGAATTGAATAATACGTTCTTACAATTATTGTATTTGATCCAGTATGGATAAATAAAGTAAAATAAATATTACTGAGATTCAATTTGTAGTTGATTTCACAATTAATTTGTATTTATTGATTATAGGTTTAGGGAATATTGCGAGAGAGAGAGAATCGAAGTACAGAACTTTACCTTGAATTTAAGTCGCGAGCGAAGTAAACCCGTCTATTAGTAATAAACTTATGAAGGACTGAAATTGAGTATTATTTTTTATTGGGATGCAATTCTTGTAATTACACACCTGCTACGAATTCAGCTTTCAGTACTTTGTAATCAGTTTTTCAAAACTTTTCAAATGATATGCATTAAAGCACAGAGTTCAAACTTTAATTTAAGTAGTGAACTAAGTAAATCGGTCCATTCTTAACGAAGTAATAAACGATCGACGTAGAGTAATAATTTTTACAAGGGTAGAATTTCTCTAATGGCACCAGTCGTGTTTCAAATCTGATTCTTTCCCCTTAGAAATGGATTTGTCAAAATTCTTCGAAGAAACTGAATGAAATTAGAAAGTTCAAACTTTAATTCGAGCTGATCTTCCATTATTTACGAGGTCCCAAACAATACTATCATTTTCCTAATCCAAACACCTTTAAATAGAATCTTGAAACGGAATGGCTTGTAGACTTCCTACCACAGAGATTTCCACCTGGATCCAAGAATCCCGACCAAAACTCGAAATAGAATTTATGCGCAAGCTGAAACGACGGGAAGAAAGGAAAGTAGGAGAAGAGGAATCGAAGCTTGCGCACTATTCGCAGAGGCGCGTCCCGGCTCGGCCGAGCTTGCGTTTCACTTGTCGACGAGCTTCCGTGCGCGCGCGCCCCTCGTCGAAGTCGAAAGCACAAATAAACCCGGCCCCAACCATTTAAAAAAGAGTTCATCAAACAATTAAGTAAGGACGAGGACGGACATCTTCAGGTGGGATACCCTTCAGGGATTTTCTACAGAGAGCCGTGCTTGCAAGCTTCTATTCTACTCGGTGCTCGACACCCCTTCGGCTTTACGGTGGTCGATAGTCTCTACGCAGTTCCATGGTTTTCGCAATATTCGTTTTCTCGTTCTGTTCGATCGCTGGTTTAATCCGGGAAATAAGTGCAATTTTCATTCGAGTGGCTTTCGTACGAAAGTGGAGCTCAGAGAACTAATAATTGTGATTGGGATTGATTAATTAGGCCGAAGGTTCCGGGGTTCTACTTCTTTTATTTATATTCGTATTCCGTAATTTTACTGGATTAAATAATTTAATATGAATTCCAATTTTACTTCGAGTGGCTGAGAATTAACTTATTAATTGGGGACTGATTAATTAAGGCTGAGGGTTACAGAATTTTCTGCCTTTTATCTATACTCGTATTCCAGTTTTAGTGGATTAAGTGATTGATAAGAATTTTAATTTTAAATCAAATGCATGACTGAGAATTAAGTTATTAATTGGGAGATGATTATAATTATGCTTGAAGATTTCCTCCTCTCTCTTCTGTTTTTAACACTAGATTGCCCGAGGAAGTCATTTTGACTGCTTTTGGGCAAATGTACAAATAATAATGACAGACACATTATTCTTTCACAATGCAGTCATTTTGACTGCTTTGGGCAATATAGGTATATACTAAGTTTCAGTCTTTCTAGTGTTAATATTCCCCTTCCTGGATGAAATAATTCCAATTTTGATTTGGTTGTAATAATTGACTGAGTAATTAACGGCTGAGAATTAACTTATTAATTGGGATTGGGGGTAGATTAATCATCCATTAAGGTACCCTGGCTTTTAATTTCTTCTGAATTAAATAATAATTCAAATAATAGTGGGTGTGTACGGATTGTAATTTGATTAGGGCTAATCACTGTTAAACATTCTTTGATTCAACGACTCGACAAAAGCTTCTGTAGCTCATCGATTAAAATCAAAGCTATCTCTACAGATAGTGCAAAGGTCAGTCCCTATGAGTCATAATATCAATTGCTACTCTCCTACCGAATTGCAACCTGGAGATCTATCGAAATAAGTCGAAGATTAATTTAATTACAGTTAATTAGAATCCAGGAAACCAGAATATTTAGAGGGGATCAGATTCTAATCGCAATTATTAAAATTCTTTAAGTATAAAATGAAAGTGAAAAACTGAAATGAAGTTAGTTAATTTAAAAGATAGACGAAAGCTGAAGGGGTTGAAAGGGCTTTGTCCGGCCAGTGAAATACCTGAAGGGAATTCTGTCTGTAGGAAAGTGAGGGAAAATGTAAGTGTCCAGTGCTGAGGAAGGGAGAGAATGCGAAAGGGTTGAAAGTGGAGCGAGGGATTCATGGCGTGAACCATTCTACCACGATATCAATTATTCTTCGAAAAAGCGCTGAACGCATTAACAAACCAGGTGAGCTTTCGATATCATTTGTAAAACTGATTGAGAACAATTGTAGGAACGAAGGGATTTAAATATAAGATTGCAAATATTAATTGTCAGCCTTTAGTCAATAACAAACTATCTTTAAAACTGACTAAAGTATATGGAAAAATTACATTCTGATACAAAACTGTTTTTAAAAATTGTCAAACCGGGTTTAGTATTAAACAGAGGGTACAGTAAATATTAATTCTGAACGAAACCATTTTTAAAATCGTTAAAACAATAATTAAAATTAATAAGTGCATATAAAAACAATTTTTCAATCTCGAACTGTATTTAAAAATAGAATGAACATTTAGATTGAAAGGTAAACCACAAGCAATTCTTAAATATTAAAAAATCGATAGACGATTAATTTGTCCTGGAGTTTAATTTCCCGTCAATTAATCAACAGTTCGATTAATCGTTCCTGAGTCTAAAGACAGTATCGACAACTGTTGAACTTTCTCTAAGTCGCTTCTTGTGAGACCTGCATCCGAAAGCTGTAACCTGTTGCGAGATAATCCAAGCCTATTCTGTACGGCAACAACTCACCCTTCCACTGCAATTCCTGTCTGACCAAATTTTTAATTCAGCCGAGAAGTCGATAGGGAATTCTAAGAGGAAGTGATACAATTTTTCTAACTAGACAAGATATTGATTCGAATGTCATTTCCATCCCTTAGGAATCTATCAAAATTTGTCGAAGAAACTTAGTTAAACTAGATTTCAGCTAAGCTTCAACTAAATCATTCTATTATCAACGAAATAATAAAAATTCGAACCCTTCTATCTATAAGATAACAAAATTATTCGAAAAAATTGGTAATTAAAAATTATTTAAAATGATTAAAATTCGTGAACTGTCCTACGAGACAACGAATGTGGGTCATGCAAATGACCTTTTGAGTCTTGATAATCGATCCCACTCCCACCACATATACCTCGAAAAACGGTCCCTACTTAAAAAATTGCAGTTGCAAGACATACAAGAAGACTGTATACAGGGGATCTGGTCTCGGTTTATTTTTCGTTATTTCCAGTCTGGCCGTCTGCCAATAATCATTTTGTGTGGCTCGTATTCAACGCTTTCCGATATACGCCCAACCCATTTTCCGTGACGCTTGTTGCTCCATTGTTAAACCAACGATCACCTCGCATTGTGCATTAACCTTTCAGGCCTCTCGGTATTGTTCCAAGTTTCGAAAGCCTGGCGACTATTTTACAAATTATCGTTTATACCCGTATTATAAATAGTTCGATCAACGTCTCATCAAATGTCAATTTCGAGATTCGTAGAAGATCGGAGACGTGCTATAGGCGTAGTACGTATGAAACTTCTTGAACCCTCTATATTAAGAGTTGACGAAAGTTCCGAAAGAGTTCGATTACTATCTGACCATCATCTCTCCTATACATCCTCGGTTTAGCTGATGTAAATGCCCCCGAATACAGCAGACGCAGAATCGTTTGTCCGACGAACCATCCGATCAATAAACCATCCCCATCCTCCTTTCGAGGAACGCAAACGCAGACCCGGTAAGCTTGCACACAGATGTATTCACCCCAAAAAGTGTACATCTCCCCCTTGCACCCATTCAATCCTTAGAAATATAATTAAAATAGGAAACATTCNACAGAGGGTACAGTAAATATTAATTCTGAACGAAACCATTTTTAAAATCGTTAAAACAATAATTAAAATTAATAAGTGCATATAAAAACAATTTTTCAATCTCGAACTGTATTTAAAAATAGAATGAACATTTAGATTGAAAGGTAAACCACAAGCAATTCTTAAATATTAAAAAATCGATAGACGATTAATTTGTCCTGGAGTTTAATTTCCCGTCAATTAATCAACAGTTCGATTAATCGTTCCTGAGTCTAAAGACAGTATCGACAACTGTTGAACTTTCTCTAAGTCGCTTCTTGTGAGACCTGCATCCGAAAGCTGTAACCTGTTGCGAGATAATCCAAGCCTATTCTGTACGGCAACAACTCACCCTTCCACTGCAATTCCTGTCTGACCAAATTTTTAATTCAGCCGAGAAGTCGATAGGGAATTCTAAGAGGAAGTGATACAATTTTTCTAACTAGACAAGATATTGATTCGAATGTCATTTCCATCCCTTAGGAATCTATCAAAATTTGTCGAAGAAACTTAGTTAAACTAGATTTCAGCTAAGCTTCAACTAAATCATTCTATTATCAACGAAATAATAAAAATTCGAACCCTTCTATCTATAAGATAACAAAATTATTCGAAAAAATTGGTAATTAAAAATTATTTAAAATGATTAAAATTCGTGAACTGTCCTACGAGACAACGAATGTGGGTCATGCAAATGACCTTTTGAGTCTTGATAATCGATCCCACTCCCACCACATATACCTCGAAAAACGGTCCCTACTTAAAAAATTGCAGTTGCAAGACATACAAGAAGACTGTATACAGGGGATCTGGTCTCGGTTTATTTTTCGTTATTTCCAGTCTGGCCGTCTGCCAATAATCATTTTGTGTGGCTCGTATTCAACGCTTTCCGATATACGCCCAACCCATTTTCCGTGACGCTTGTTGCTCCATTGTTAAACCAACGATCACCTCGCATTGTGCATTAACCTTTCAGGCCTCTCGGTATTGTTCCAAGTTTCGAAAGCCTGGCGACTATTTTACAAATTATCGTTTATACCCGTATTATAAATAGTTCGATCAACGTCTCATCAAATGTCAATTTCGAGATTCGTAGAAGATCGGAGACGTGCTATAGGCGTAGTACGTATGAAACTTCTTGAACCCTCTATATTAAGAGTTGACGAAAGTTCCGAAAGAGTTCGATTACTATCTGACCATCATCTCTCCTATACATCCTCGGTTTAGCTGATGTAAATGCCCCCGAATACAGCAGACGCAGAATCGTTTGTCCGACGAACCATCCGATCAATAAACCATCCCCATCCTCCTTTCGAGGAACGCAAACGCAGACCCGGTAAGCTTGCACACAGATGTATTCACCCCAAAAAGTGTACATCTCCCCCTTGCACCCATTCAATCCTTAGAAATATAATTAAAATAGGAAACATTCNCTCTCTGTTAGACTCAGAATATTAAAATGTATTTTAATTCATCAACCAATTATATTAAAATTGATAGATAAAAATTGCTAAATAATATTTCAAATTTACGTCTTACGTCTCTGCATTTTTTCATATTCAATATTTTATATTGCGATTAAGAATGAAATTGAATATATGAAGAGAGTTTAAATCGTGTTTGGTGACGATGAAAGGGGCATAAAAATTGGTAGCGTGTGTTTACGTATGACAAAGGGAAGATAGCAGATCTCTTATCTCTTCACGGTGCACTAAAGCCTCTCTCTCTCTCTAGCCTCTCTTATTCTATCGAGGTTCGACCTACATCTGGCTAATGGCTACACGGACGGTAAATATAAACCATCCGGCAACGCAGTGTTAACGTATTAAACCACTCACAGCAGATGGAGTACGCTGAAGTATACCGGTTTTATTACTAAGTCGATTAAAACCAGAGGAAACGTGAGATTTCGAAATAGTGGAAATAGTCGATATCTGAGAACTCGCATAAATTGGCATTTTTTTTAATACAAATAATCGATGGATCAATTTAGAAATATTATCACTTATACTGCGAGTATAGTACTAGGTTTGTGTATTTTTTGATCAATTTTCATCCGCTGGAAATGGAGAAAATAAATTTTGAGTATATCGCAAATTGTGTTACAACGGGGTACCCCCTTCGGATCTGGCAAAACCTAAAAATTTCCGATTTTCATGAATTTTTTTAAATTTAAATAACTGATCAGGCCATTTGGAATAATGTCTACGTATATTACCCCTACAGCACTACGTCTTTGAATTTTTTCATCGAATTCTATACGCTAGTTTCGGAGAAAAAAATGGCAACGTATTGAAAATTCCGTGTCCTAAGGGGGTATCCATTTAAAATTTGGCAAAATTTGAAAATTCTCAAATTGTATTGTAAAAATTATCACATGTTCTACTGCTATAGTAAAGCATTCCTGGAAGTTTTTAGAATTTTCTATACATTAGATCTCGTGAAAAAAATATTGAAAATTGCATGCCGAGAAGCTTTAGATCTGGCAAAATCTCGTGCGACTTTTGCGAAATTTTTAAATATCTGCTACGTATTAAAATTAATAAATTTCGAAACTTCAGGGAAATGTAATCAATTTCAAGGTCCATAGCAGGAAGGAGGAAGAAAAACGGATTCTTCATAGATCCAAAGGACGTATACATAGATAATAAGTGTAACGTAAAATTAGTGTAGAGGCGATTCCCATCGCTGTGCATCCTGTGAACCCTTATTTATCTGAACATCGTAGATTCGCGATTTTCAAACAATTTCTTAGAAACACCAACAATTCTCATCTGAATCGAATCCAGAACAAAAGCAATTCTAAATTAAAAACAAGGCTATCCAATAACAAAATTTATTTCACACGAAATAAAAAATTCTTATAATAATTGAATTAAAATTTGAAGCATAGAATTAGATTGAAGGATTCGATTTAGATATAGAAATTTCCCATTTCCATTGAATTATACAAAATATTCCCCGAAGTAAAATCAGATAATATAGGAAACAATTGCAATTTCTATTAACTTCATTTTTACACACTGGCTCATGGAATACTTTTAAAATTATAGAAAACTCTCCGAAAGTGATAGAAGACTTTTCTAAAATCAATACAGCAATTAAAATAATAGAGGATCAGCCCAGTGATTAAAATTCACTCCCTGAACAGGAATTAGTCTATTCACTTTACTACAGATTCACTACCGAACCACCCAATAATCATCAATTCTTACAAATTCAAATGAAAACTGAATTAGAATTAGCTTCAGTCTCAGCCCCAAAAAATCTGACAGAGAAAAGACCGAGAACCAAAGAAAAGATCTCTTTTCGGGTGTTGCAGGATGCACGCGGTTGGATTGCACTCGGCGCTGGCCATCAAGCGTCAGCGTAAGCGCCGGGACGAGCAGCGTCGCGCCCGCGAGCGTCGTTATAGCACCCAGTCGGGCGAAAGCGGTCTAACATCCCCCCGCGCATCTACCGGTTCCCTGGACCATCACTCGAGACACAACGAGCACGGGCATCACTCGGCAGGGCAAGGGATGCTGGATTCAAAAGTAATGACCTCGGTCGGGATGCTGCACATCGGAGTAGTCTTCCTGGTCTTGGGTTGCTTCTTATTAATGAGCGGCCTGCTACCAGGAGATTTAGCCCAATGGGGCACGAAAGCCTCTGGGGGTTGGTGGAACGAGCTGGTCGCCATCGGATTGTTCGCAATCTTTTTGGGAATTTTCCTGATAGTTCTTAATAGAATTATTGCCAAGAAGGAGGAACACGATCTCGAAGAATACGTGCAGAGGCAGTTGACTCGGTCCAGGTCGGGGCATAGATTGGAGAGGGATGCTGAGACTGGGGGATTATCTACGAGGCAGGCAAAGAGGGCTAGACAGATGCTGCAAGCAGCTGCGGCTGAGGCTGATGCACAGATTGAGAAAGAGGCTAGTTCGCCACCTAGGAGTCCTCCTCCTGCTTATTCGCCACCGATTAATGGAGATCAGGCGCAGAACGCTGCTTTGTATTTGGAACAAATCACGGAGGAGGAGATTATTAGCGATAGGGTCGAGACTTCTACTACTAATAGCTTGAGTCCTGGGTCGCCCAGTGAGACCAGAGAGTTGTTGCAGAATCCCAGATACTCAAAACAGAACGGACAGCAGGCTAGGGGACCTCTGTATGTCTCCAAGATTTAAATGAGAGGTTGACGAGGTGGGTTTTGTTTTTTTATTTCGGGAGAATGAAGGAAATATTTGAGGTCCGAGGGTATAGTGGTTGTTAAGATTTTTAATTGGTTTGAAACAGAAAACTGAATCATGTGTTTTAGAATAAAACTGATTGACAGAACTCGAAAGTCTCATCTACGAATTGACTTACGCGAATAATGAAATTCATCTCCGAAGAAATGTGGTATCGAAGAAGAATTCCAAGCATTTTCCTATTAGAGAACTCCTACTATAGGATCTAAAGATATCTAGAGCAAGGGGTCGAGTCTCGTACGAAAAGGGGGTTGAGAAATTTTAATCCAGTCCACAGGAATTCGTATTGAATCGTCGAGTGTAAACATCAGTTTTGCCAGTATCCATAGGAGAAACTGAAGGACCAATTAAGAATTTAACCGGTGGATAATTTTAACACAGTCCTGCAGTCGCGAATCGAATAATCAAATTTAATGGAGGACTACGTTAAATGAAAGATGAGTGGGTAAAAGAATGTGGGTCTGCAAGGCACATGTCAACCCTGTGAACTGCAAGTTTTTATAAAAAGCTATAAAAGTTTGCAGTCTGGAGAACGAGGCCATATCATTAATTAACAGATCCATCTAATCATCTATACGTTAATGAACTATTACTATACGAAGCTATTAATTAGATGAATCTTAAATGCCAAAAATTCTATATATATATAATAATATATATATAATATATATATAATATATATATATTTAAATAATAATTAGTCTCCTAATTAAAATTGGGAAGCCGCGTTTCCTGGCAAAAAGTCCAACTGGATTATCATTTAAAGTGAATCACTATAAATAAATTGGCAGTCTTTCTAAGAAATTGAAATCCGAGGAGAGATTTAAAACTACTCTTTTCCCTAGCTTTAGCGTGGACCGTACAAAGTCGCTTTTTTACAAATCAATTATCGCAACGATAAATTCTTCAACTAATTAACAATTGTATTGAAGAGGACACTGGAGTCTCATTAATTCGAATGGGACAGTGAATTCTTAAGTATCGATAGTTCACGTGTTTCTCCATCCTTTTCCCCATGGCCAGTGTTGCAATTAATTAATTAATTAATTAAGTAAGTAATTATTAAGGGGCATCGTACTTAATCAATTGGCTCTGTGTCCAGCGACTGATATAGCGCATATACTTATTAAGACTAGTATGTTAAGTCTGCTTTGGACTTGGCTACATTTTTATCAATCGTCAAATAAAGAATGGATTTCAGGCTTGAATTATATCATTTATTGTTAGTTTCATTTGAAAAATGAGATACAAGAAGAAAATTTGATTTTAATTCGAGTTCTAAGTATATCTGTGATTGTTTTGATGCGTTTGAATCGGAGGAAAAAATCGTGGAATTGATTAAAATTCATTATTATAGAATTTGAAAACACGATACATTTATTTTTAATATAAATAATGAGTGGAATGATTTGAAACAATTCTTACATGGTTTTCTGCTGTACTAGAACGTCTCTGATTATTTTCGGCGCACTTAAATACCAAAAGTTGTATGTCAAATGATCACAATTAATTTTTCTGAATAAGGGAAATTGATAAAGAATGTCGCCAGGTCGAACAGAGACCTTCCACTTTTATAATACCTTGGATATTTAAATAACTAAATATTTGCTAGCTTTAGATCAACGAGAGATTTTTCAAAATGACCACACTGAACGACAATTATTATTAACGAACGCATATAATTATGATTTTTAAGGGTTGGTTGTTTTCGAAGATTTTATGGATAAAGAAACAAAAAAAAACATAATTGCCACGCTCGGGCGCTACTATTCTGTGATCCAATTAAAAAAACGATTGATTAATCAATTAATTAATGTTAATTAATTGAGGATTCGTACCGAGGTAGTTGTATTACTCTCTGTACATATATACATATACATATTTATTATTGTACACTCTATATCTTTTTTCAATCTTTCGGGCACCTCGACAAAAATTGTAATGCAAATATGAATCAATAGAAACAATTGTTAGGATGAAATGATGAGAATAATGTTTATGCAAGGCTGCATTTAACTTGAACGTTTCCAAAAACAATTAATAGAAATTGGCAAATAAAATAAATCGGTTTAATTAATAAACGTTTAAGTAGATTGCTTTAAGTAATGAAAAAAACTTTACCAAGCGTTTTAATTGTTCGAAAGAATCATTTGAAAAATGGTGTTAATTTATTACCTACTAAAATGAATGATTGTCTTTATTGATTCATTTTAATTTAACAATCCTTGTTAAATTACAAAAAAGGATTCGAAAGGGAATAAAGAGAAAGTAAGGGTGTCCAATTTCTCGCATTTGCAAAACTTTGTACGCTGTTTNAGGTATTACTCTCTGTACATATATACATATACATATTTATTATTGTACACTCTATATCTTTTTTCAATCTTTCGGGCACCTCGACAAAAATTGTAATGCAAATATGAATCAATAGAAACAATTGTTAGGATGAAATGATGAGAATAATGTTTATGCAAGGCTGCATTTAACTTGAACGTTTCCAAAAACAATTAATAGAAATTGGCAAATAAAATAAATCGGTTTAATTAATAAACGTTTAAGTAGATTGCTTTAAGTAATGAAAAAAACTTTACCAAGCGTTTTAATTGTTCGAAAGAATCATTTGAAAAATGGTGTTAATTTATTACCTACTAAAATGAATGATTGTCTTTATTGATTCATTTTAATTTAACAATCCTTGTTAAATTACAAAAAAGGATTCGAAAGGGAATAAAGAGAAAGTAAGGGTGTCCAATTTCTCGCATTTGCAAAACTTTGTACGCTGTTTTCCAAGAGAGAGAGAGAGAGAGAGAGAGAGAGAGAGAGAGAGAGAGCGAATGAGAATAAAGGGAAAAAGTGAAAGAGAGAGAATGCTAAGTAGGATTTACAATGTTAATTGTTGTACATTTAAGTGCCTTTTCCGTTCAATCTATATTCAGTTGATAATTATTATCATTCCAATGAAACTGCTGTTACAATCCTGAGAAGCATGGTGGAACCACCATCCTCCTTAATAAGGACTAATGAAAATGACAATTTTCATAACTCTTATTCCTACGGAAGCTTCTAATTAATTATAATGAAATTCTATCTACGTTCATAGAATCTAAGACAATTGCTTTCAGATCTTGAATTTAACAAGAGAACATCGAAGAAGTTCAGGGGAGAAAAACTTGAAAATTTTCATTTTCTGTTGGTCTGAACGTTGACTGATTTACATACGTTTATTTAATTTTAACACCAACTATGATTAATTAATTAATTTATTATTGTAGAAGAGAGAGTCTAGAGGGGTTGAACTAATTAAAGGGAAGAATAGAAGAATGATCTCTATCACTGTTACGATTAATGTTAAAAACAGCTCTCGCATCTACACTAATCGCAATATAATCGATGCAAACCACATACCATACGATTTATTATATATATGTATAGTATAGAAGTTAATATATAAGAGAAGTGACG